ATATTTGACACATGTTCAAAGTTTGTAGTTTCTGTAAAATGAATGTCCATGTGTAACAAGTGTTCAAAGTGACATGAAGTGACCAGTATTGACACAGAGACCATGTATTGAAACCAGTCTTTGACGCCTAGAGGGATCAGTCACTGACGCGTAGAGACCTGTCAATAACGCGTAACGACCAGTCATTGCAATATACAGACAAGTTATCATCAGAGACATCAGATAGATATATTTGATATTTTTATTCATTCTAAGGAACATACACACTTGTAATCAACTAAACAACAGAGGCAAGTGAAAGACTTGAAATCACAGATCGATAACAAACATAACTGGCAAGGTAGTGTGCTCTCGAGTACACAGTACAAATCAATAATGAATTCAACGACATTTTAACAATGAATGTTCATGAATATTTACAGTGAACGACGAATGCGTTTGAGCTATGTATGAGTACATAGCCCGTAATAACGAACCACACGCTGTGGGAATCCCGTTGCCATACCGATAGGCATTGTTGCTCCTGCATCACACCTTTCACAGGACGGTGTAAATGCAGATTTCAGATAATACAAACAACATTTCAAAGACAGACGAATATACAATTAAACTGTACTCACATTCGCTCAACGATGCACGTCGATGTGTTTATAAATACACCCACCCACCCACTAACCTGTTATCATCACCATTGCGGTATTTGGTTCTACGAGAACATACAATACTGAACTGCACCAATTCCATGCTGGCAGTTGGTCTTTGTATGGCCTCCACCAGAATACCCTATGTACATAAACGTGGGTTTTGTACAACAGCACTATCCGAGGGGATGGTAGGGGCAGTGAATTAGTGAGGCTTTATGCTATGATGGACGATAAACAGATGGCGATCAACTTCATCAACGGGGTCGCTCGTGCCCTCGGTGTGCTGTTTCATCCTCTGCACAGAGAACTTGGGCGACTTCATCAACGGGGTCAGCCGTGCTCCCAGTGTGCTGTTTCATCCTCTGCACAGAGCATTTGGTCGTCTTCATCAACGGGGTCAGCCGTGCTCCCAGCGTGCTGTTTCTTCCTCTGCACAGAGCATTTGGGCGATTTCATCAACAGGGTCAGCCGTGCTCCCAGTGTGCTGTTTCTTCCTCTGCACAGAAAAGTTGGGCGACTTCATCAACGGGGTCAGCCGTGCTCCCAGTGTGCTGTTTCATCCTCTGCACTAAGAATTGAGGCTACTTCATCAACGGGGTCAGCCGTGCTCCCAGTGTGCTGTTTCTTCCTCTGCACAGAGATTTTGTGCGACTTCATCAACGGGGTCAGCCGTGCTCCCAGTGTGCTGTTTCTTCCTCTGCACTAAGAATTTGGGCGACTTCATCAACGGGGTCAGCCGTGCTCCCAGTGTGCTGCTTCATCCTCTGCACAGAGCATTTGGGCGACTTCATCATCGGTACAGACGTCCTCCAGTGTGCTGTTTTATCCTCTGCACTAAGAATTGTGGCGCCATCATCAACGGGGTCAGCCGTGCTCCCAGTGTGCTGTTTGTTCCTCTGCACTAAGAATTTGGGCGACTTCATCAACGGGGTCAGCCGTGCTCCCAGTGTGCTGTTTCTTCCTCTGCACTAAGAATTTGGGCGACTTCATCATCGGGGTCAGCCGTGCTCCCAGTGTGCTGTTTCATCCTCTGCACTGAGAATTGAGGCTACTTCATCATCGGGGTCAGCCGCGCTCCAACTGTGCTGTTTCATCCTCTGCACAGAAAATTGAGGCGTCTTCATCATCGGGGTCAGCCGTGCTCCCAGTGTGCTGTTTGCTCCTCTGCACTGAGATTTTGGGCGACTTCATCAACGGGGTCAGCCGTGCTCCCAGTGTGCTGTTTCATCCTCTGCACTAAGAATTGTGGCGCCTTTATCATCGGGGTCGCCCGTGCCCCAACTGTGCCGGTTCACCCTCTGCACTAAGAATTGTGGCGCCTTCATCAACGGTGTCGCCCGTGTCCCAACTGTGCTGTTTCATCCTCTACACAGAGGATGGAGGCGACTTCATCATCGGGGTCGCCCGTGCCCCAAGTGTGCCGTTTCACCCTCTGCACTAAGAATTGTGGCGCCTTTATCAACGGGGTCAGCCGTGCCCCCAGTGTGCTGTTTCACCCTCTGCACTAAGAATTAGGGCGACTTCATCAACGGGGTCAGCCGTGCTCCCAATGTTCTGGTTCACCCTCTGCACTAAGAATTGAGGCACCTTCATCAACGGGGTCGCCCGTGCCCCAACTGTGCTGTTTTATCCTCTACACAGAGGTGGGGGCGACTTCATCATCGGGTCGGCCGTGCCCCCAGGGTGATAACAAAGACATTATATAAGAATATCGATGCATTGCGATTGTCTGTTGGCCGAAGGCAATAAATTCATGACAAATTAAATAATCTCGATAGTTGACATCGATACCGTACAGCTTTCGACAGTTTCCATAAAACAATGAAAAACATATTTACATATACAATCACCACACCTATGTCCCGGACTTGTACTAATTCCTGGTATGATTAAACACGCAAAACACAAAATGCCTGAATGTGTGTCGCCATATTAGCCAGATATATATACTTCATATATAACTGGAAGGGTCTACTGACACGCAATCATACCACAAAACAAACATCAGTAAGATGGTAGCATTAACGCTTTCAAGAGTGACTTTCCTGACAACTGGCACCTGACGTACCCGGAACACGATCTGCATTTACACCGCAGGCACATCGAGGTGATCCTTTTGCACTCAATACGTTCCATGGAAATTCACTTTCTATATATGACACAACGCAAACGTTACTGACCCACTACCCTTAATACCAGGGCAATAATTACTTTTTCAATTCCCATTGCATATAAGAGCACAGTTATACATCGATATAGATAATGTAAGTGAGATGGGTTTAACAAAGCCGTAGACAGTACATAAATTTTATCACAACGTGTTAGCGCATTGATGGATGAAAGTCTCAAATGACCAGGACATTCACAGCTTTGGTGAAAGCCAAGGGCACGAGTGTGGTGCTGATCGGGACGAATCTGCTATTCCACTAGTTTGGATGACATCGTTGTTTATTATTGGGAAAGGCCAAATTCGTATTTGATATAATTTGTTTTCTTAATTTTATTTTTGATTGTTCATCTTCTTTATTAATAATTTTAGGAGTCGATCGGGCGATCGGTAAGATCCAAAGTGGTGTCTTGAAAATGATTCAAGGATGGTAAAAGAAACATTGTCCACCCTTATTCTACCGCACAATATGTACCATCATATGATGGCTAATACTCCCACACAGACATACGTGTGGTATTCCAACGCCACATTCCTAGCTTCCGCATTCGTTAGTGGTGTAATATAAGGGTAACGCTAATTTAAGGGAATTATTATTTGCAGAAGCCTGTCTGTCATTAACTGAACTACGGAGATCATTTGAAAACAGATCGAAAACGCCTGGAACAGCGTTACCGTTATCATAGCTGACATGGGTAGAATTTATCCTAAAACAGATGAGCATATCCCTAAGATAACCCAGGAAAGAATTGCACCATAAACACTACAGAAGTCAGTGTGACATTTGCCTAGAAACACATCATCAATGATTGATTACGTCAGTGTAAGTTACGTGACATCTTTCCACTTGTTCTTTGATCCAGCCAACATCAGTAGGAAGCCATTTAGGAGCTATTCCAACGTCAATTTTCAGAGTTGTTTGGACAATGACATTGAAAACGACGCTGCAATGTAACCGTCCCACTTTGCCGATCGATCGGACCCGTCGTTCGATTCAGCGTCCATCTGCAATGTGTTGCGTGCTTCCACGTCTAAACTGTATATATGCAGGTAAACTGGTCGACCTATACATATCTATCATCAGCTGACTCATTGGGCACTCGCTCGATCATTCGAGTTGACATAGCCGTACCAATATAGCCAGATGCCATGTTTGTTTGATTTTAGTATGCAAATTTGCTATGACATCACACAACAAGGCAATTCATGATGACCCGTCGGTATGCAAAATGAGGGCATTATCAAATTACTGTGATCTGCACTTTCCCCGATGACATGCGGGCCGTTATATGTCGATAATTCTACACCTTTTAACTATGATAAGTGAATAGCTTGCAAATACTTCTGTTCGTCACACATATTGTCTGTGTGGGATTTTAGCTGTTTGGTGACACGCACAACGATATATATATATATATGTATAAATACAACACAGGATGTGCATCTATTTTAAAATATTATTGCTAAAAGAACTGTAAATTCGATGGTTTGGTCAGTCCAACAGAAGATGGATGCGTTGTAATAGCGGGGTTAGCAGACCGACTTCCAAATCTCGCGGTAGCCCCGCTTTACAACCATTTTATCTTCATACAATGTGCGTTCCGGGCGGGTTGCAATTTGCAAAGATTTATGAGTGATCTATCGTAATATGTTGGGTTATCAAGGACTTTATGGCTCACATGGACAAAACAATGTCCATTACATTTAGCTTAGCATTGATTTCCATGACAACGAGATAACGCAACTTAACACAGTGCCAGTGAGAACTGTTATTGGTCATGATCATTAACACACAGTTCTGGCTCACAGACGCTAGACTTATCAATTGTTCTTCAGCATCAGACCAAGTGTTAAGTCATTTGTGTGGATAATATACTACCGGGAAAAAGGAAGTATACACTTGAAAGTTGGATTTGATCAAGAAGAAACAGACGTTATCAAAACGTTACAAGGCTGACAATAGTCGCATGAAACACTGCAAACCTTCACGTCCAAAATACAAATATATACCCGTATCAAAAACATTTTCATCGTATAAGACCCGCGAAGATCCGGAGTAGCATAGGTCTTCACCAACCTATGCTTGCAGTAAAAGGCGATTATGCTTTTCGTAAGCGGCAACTCACAGGATTGGGTGGTCAGGCTCGCTGACTTGGTTAATGCATGTCATCGTATCCCAGTTGCGTGGATCTATGTCAGTCACTGAATTTTCTAGTCCAGAATCGATTATTTACAGACCGCCGGAATAGCTGGAATATTGCTGAGTGCGGCGTTAAATAACAAACAAACAAACAAACAAACAAACACACAGAATCATCGTATAGCATTTCTTGTTGGTTTCATCTTTGGTTACCATCATCCATTTGTGTATACTTTCTTTTTCCCGGCAGTTTCGTCAGTAAGAACATCTTCCTGTCCTTTCTTGGCAATATGTTTATATGGTTTAAGGATTAATATCGGATAATATATTTACCAATCATCTTACATGTCACTTTTACAATGGAGGGTAAGTATTTTGTTGTGTGGAAAAGAACTTAAAGCGAAATTCTACATGGAAGACAGCGTTTGTGCGTCTCTAAAAAACAGGACTTTCCTCTCGAAATGGTTTGAAGTTTTCGTTCGGATTCGATAAAATCTTTAAAACAATAAACAAAGCCAATAGAGGTGCACGGAACAGCTATATACAGCTATTTGGGGGTTTGTTTTGGCATCGGTGATATATGAAGATCATATTTGAGAACAATTGTTGCCGTAGCCATGATCACGGCCGAGGCCTGGATGACTAGGCCTTGAGTCCAATGGTTGAATCAGTTAAAGCACCAACAGCGCCATCATCCCACGGTGGCACCAGCTTTCATCTCCCGGCATCTGTTTGTCTTCATAAGCAAACCGCTCCATGGTATACAAATGTCATGACGTATGGTAACCAGAATTGCTAAGTTTCACATTTCCGATACTATTATATCCTTATTAACAGTGGTCCCGTAGATTCGGCTCACTTTATACCATTGGCGAACTTAGGTAGGTGGCCTTTGCTGTGGCCGTTACAGTTCGCCATGTGTGCGGGTTTGGATTTCCGACATTTGATGTACCTGAACAACCACTCACACCCTAGCGCTATGGCAGCGATCACCACGCCGATACCGATAAGGTAGAACGCACTCTGGACGTCGATCAAAATTATAGGTTTGGCTTCGGTTGTGAGGGAACCTTTGCAGAAACTGTTCTTAGACCACCATCGCTTCTTCCAGATCTGAAGTAGCCCGCTCTCGTAGATGCGCATCATCCTACAGCGATACAGTATGAACATTCAGCAATAAAAAAAATAAATAAAAATAAACTACTTACTAGGGACAATCATATGTATCATTCTATATAAAAATACACATGAACTGAGGGCCGAAAGAAAGTATACCGACATTTTTATGAAATTGAAAATTGAAAAACTGTTATTATTTTTTTCATAAAAAGTTTTAAATCAATTTGTATTTTAAAAAATAAAACCATGTAGAAGTTTTTTTTGAGTGCTAGGGGCGGTCGGGTAGCCTTGTGGTTAAAGCGTTCGCTCGTCACGCCGAAGACCCGGGCTCGATTCGCGAAATGGGTACATTGTGTGAAGCCCATTGGATATGATATCGCTTAGATATTTTTTTTTAGAACTTTTTTTTTGCTCATCTGTTTATCTATTATTATCTTACACGAATACGTATTTAAAATGAGTATTGAACAGGTTGTGTTATGTTGTAACATTCTAAATAGATGTCATAAATTACTTGATCTAGAAGACTCGTATGTAACATAATGTATCAAATACGATGTATTTATAGCAAACCAACTTTAACCATATCTTATTTAGATTATAACCAACGAGCTTCCAGGAATAACGGATTATCCGTCCCGAGTATATGAATGGTGTTTATGGTGTTGACGAGGGACAGATATTCCGAAATTGCGAGTTTCAAGTAGGTTATTCTGTATATGTCTCATTGACATTTTAAGAAGAAAATGAAGAGAAAACATATAAAATGTCAATCCTACAGAGAAAGTTCACTGAAGGCATCCTATTATTCAGATGACGTCATGTAATCTGTTTGTAACGCCATGAACAATGGATGACGTCATATAGTATTTTCTCAACAACGACGCACTATGACGTCATATGGTTTCAACTGACCAATCAACATTGAGAGTCGCTAAACTGCACATGTGCAATACGGAAAGTTATGACACACGATAGTTATACCCTTATGGGCAATATTCAACTATTGCATCTTCTGAGTGAGTGAGTGAGTGAGTGAGTTTGGCTTAACGCCGCTTTTAACAGTATTCCAGTTAAATCACGGCGTGTCAGCTTAATGTGGGAGGAAAGCCTGACGTGACGCATGTCTCAGATGTTTACCACTTTGGTGAAACCCACGAGCACGGGTATGGTGCTGACAAACCTAGAAACATAATCGGGTTGAACCGGGATTTGAACCCATAATCATTGGTTTCTGGCGTGCCCAAGGGACGCAGCTCTGCACAGCGAATTGCGAGGCCTTAGACGACTGGGCAACCCGCGCCTCTGGCCCTTAAGATGTAAGTTATGACATCGGTACTTACTCCTCCGAGAAGATGCTCACATACGCGGAGTTGTTGGGAAGTGCTATAGCGTATTGAAGGGGGAAAAAGTTCTCCTTGATCATCTGTAGGTCGCAGGACTCCGCCATCCACCTCTCCATCATCGACCTGTCGGCGATGTAGCCGTACGAGCCTTCCTTCACTTTATTATAATGGTCAAGTGGGTTGAGACTCAGAACGGAGGGGTCTGTGGCGTTGAACCGTTTGATCCCCTCCCAGGCCAGTCTGAACTCAGCTTTGTTGGTTTTCTGGAACCACAAGAGTACACTGATGATGTCTACGTCTATTAGGAACCTCCACGACAGAGAATAAAATAACAAGTACGCAGCGTATCATTTTACGCCTCTATAATAATAAAAATAAAAATAAAAATACACAAATAAAAACAACAACAATGATGATGATGATGATGATGATGATGATGATGATGATGATGATAATAGTGAAAGAAAGAAAGAAAAGATGATGATGATGACCATAATCTGGCACGCTAAAGAATATTTGGCAACCCGACCCCGAAAATACTGCAAGATTTAGGTGTTACATCATGAAACTTTAGCTGACATAAAATGTAAACATGAATATAATGCTATCGTAGAATGGGCGAGTAAAGGCACCATATGTTATAACGAAGAATGAAAAAGTATCATGTGCGATGAGTCTTCGTTTCAGTAGTAGTTGTGGTAGTTGTGTATCTTACGCTATATCAGTTGCCTACAGTTATCAGCAAACGTGTATCGTTTCCACATCATGTTTATCTGTCAGATATGTGTCAATAGCCGTCATAATTTTCAGTGATCCATTTATATTATCTTCACCGATAGTTTGCCTTATGTACAATGGAAACCATCTCGTCGGATAACCGAGATTGGTTATAATGTGTTTAACATTTACACAACGTTCGTGTCCTCCTGTCAGTGGGGTGTCGTTATGAGCAGCATCGTGCGTTATTTACACCGAGTGTATATCTGTCAATCAAAGTTTATTTATCTGTCAGTAATGAGCGTTGTTCAAAATACGTGTCTTTCTGTTAGTGAGGGTGTCTTTATCAGAAGTATCGTGCGTTATTTACACCGAGTGTATATCTGTCAATCAAAGTTTATTTATCTGTCAGTAATGAGCGTTGTTCAAAATACGTGTCTTTCTGTTAGTGAGGGTGTCTTTATCAGAAGTATCGTGCGTTATTTACACCGAGTGTATATCTGTCAATCAAAGTTTATTTATCTGTCAGTAATGAGCGTTGTTCAAAGTACGTGTCTTTCTGTTAGTGAGGGTGTCTTTATCAGAAGTATCGTGCGTTATTTACACCGAGTGTATATCTGTCAATCAAAGTGTATTTATCTGTCAGTAATGAGCGTTGTTCAAAATACGTGTCTTTCTGTTAGTGAGGGTGTCTTTATCAGAAGTATCGTGCGTTATTTACACCGAGTGTATATCTGTCAATCAAAGTTTATTTATCTGTCAGTAATGAGCGTTGTTCAAAATACGTGTCTTTCTGTTAGTGAGGGTGTCTTTATCAGAAGTATCGTGCGTTATTTACACCGAGTGTATATCTGTCAATCAAAGTTTATTTATCTGTCAGTAATGAGCGTTAACGTTGTTCAAAATACGTGTCTTTCTGTTAGTGAGGGTGTCTTTATCAGAAGTATCGTGCGTTATTTACACCGAGTGTATATCTGTCAATCAAAGTGTATTTATCTGTTAGTAATGAGCGTTGTTCAAAGTACGTGTCTTTCTGTTAGTGAGGGTGTCTTTATCAGCAGCATCGTGCATTATTTACACCGAGTGTATATCTGTCAATCAAAGTGTATTTATCTGTCAGTAATGAGCGTTGTTCAAAATACGTGTTTTTCTGTTAGTGAGAGTGTCTTTATCAGCAGTACTGAGCGTTATTTTTACATCGTGCATAACTGTCAATAAATACATCTTTATCTGTCAATAATGAAGTGTTGTTTAGATGGAGTATATGTCTGTCAATGAAAGTAAAAACATTAACGTACAGCGAGGTGCATGGAGACATTATGACGCTTTGCATGGTGATACACGTGTTGCAATTTGATGATAATTGTATGTAACACTTTTGACACAATAGTACTGACATATGTGACCAGCCATAAGATAAAAGAAATTATGAGTGAAAAATTACATTTTAATTTAATGATAGGCTTCGATCGTTTCATATTTATTACAGAGACACGTGTCACCAAACATTTGGTCTCATTTTCTGCAAAGTCCCTTTTTCAGACTTATGACCGTTTATGTAATAACTGTAGTTTTTAGATATAATGTCTGATTAATTAAAAGTAGATATGTATGCTGAAATGCTTTGAAATAATGTTTCTATTACATTACCAACTAACAAGTTAAAAAAACCGATTTTTTTAAAGTCCACACACATGGCGATGTTTACAGAAGTAAATTGACGTTAATCGTCTTTCTTTGTGACGTCAGAGCACAATTGTATCCTAGCACTCATAAGGTCCTTTTTTCCTGGTTGGTCAGATATATATATCAACACACTGGGTGCACATTAACACATTTTGCAAAAAATATTCATCATAAAAAACTGGCTCCCACAGGAGATATCGCTTGGGTGAGATCAAGCGATATCTACATTGTAAATATCGCTGCAACGAAATTGCATAACGATGCTTTGCAGACTATTGTGATGTCATTGGTTACTATAACGTCACAATCAAATGACATCACTTATTGATCCGTTACTGAAGGTGTTAGCAGTACTTTTGACACTCAAGACACTGCTTATTACTGTCTACAAACTGAAAAAGTTGGAAGAATGATGTTGGATGATAAATAAAATCTCACCGAAGTGTCCTTTGATATCAAATATATAACACGAGTTGATATAAGTGGAAAAAACTCCGAGGCTTATATCAACACACTGGGTGCACATTACCACATTAGACATACTTGTTGCAGTATATATTTATACCACAACATTTCACATGTTCATTTAATAGCTACAATTTATTGTGCACATCAGCTTAACCATATATCAACACGTTGGTGAGAACATTTTAATACATTTGCCAGAAAACACATTAACACATAAGTTGTAAAACATACTCACCGCCGTAATATACACAGATTTTAACACATAATAACACATCTGATATAGCATAAACCACCGGGCAAAAATAAATATACACCTAGTTTTGTTGGTAGCTAAAATTGAAACAAAACCAACGACTCATCTCTATACGTCTTTGCAAAATGGAACTGGTTATTCGAAGGTCATGTATCTGATACGAGTATCAAAGTTTTGTTTTCGTCCTTACGTTTGCATTGTTCCGGAGACTGTTGTCAGCCTCGTAACGTTTTGATAACATTTGTAATTGTTTGGTCAAATCCAATTTTGAAGGGTATAATGTCTTTTGCCCGGCAGTTTTCTTTTAAGACAAGCAGTTTGTAGCACATGTTACTGCTTTGGCTCTAACAGGAAACGCAGCGATGACAAAGCACTATGTGAACAGAAACATAGACACAATGTTTAGACAATGTTTAGACAATGTTTAGACACAATGTTTAGACACAATGCACTACCACTGGATGCTCAGGTCTCTGTGGCTCATATGATTTGATAAATCGTACACACGTAGTCAGTTCTGCCTGTACACTGGTTCTCTATACACGTCCCCTCCCTACACCAGTATCTGAGCTTATTTGGGGAAACGTGGACACATCCAGTGATCGCCCCAACATTTTAATGTGTACTTTGAAGGCATTTGCATTAATGTGAATGGTATATTTCCGACGGGATATTGTTGAATGTATTAATGTGTGATATACCTTGTTACACATTATTTTGAATAAAAGCGGCAAACCCCTTATCAATAATCATAAGAAATCTCTATATAAATATGATTATTTATGTGAATAAAAGCGACGTTTTCATGGTCATAAGAAACCTCCACCAAACCCAGTCCATTGTACGATTCTGACTATATTATTAGCATGTGTTTGGAATCACTATCAAATAGTGATGATATCAGGTGTTCGCGAAAAGGTGAGTGTACCCTGCAACCCCGGTGGCACCTGTCACAAACACTTGCAAAGACAGGTCAACTGTTCATCTGATTACGGGAACGTATTGACGTAAACAAGAGATGAAATGCAGTTTAAAATATAAAAAATAAACGAAAAAGGAATTACAAGGACGCCAATTGTGGCCCCCTTTTTGCTGATCTGTTTCTTTAACCATATGAATCGGAATGTCTGCTTGGATTGGCAAAATCATAACAAGATAGTTTGGCCAACAAGTTTAACCGAAGCTTCAGGTATATCGATGATCTGATATCGTTCAATAATTGTCAAATTACCTCCCCCTGATTTACCCATCTGCACTAGAAATACAAGAAACAGCCTCGTCTGTTTCATATCTGGAGCCATGTTGAAGACACTAAAACAAATGGACACAAACAACACCAGTGTGAAACATACTTTGGGAAGAGACTGGCCATTATTGTGCACTGGTTTACCACCTTGGGTATACCTTTCATGAACTACCATTATCGGACGCCGCAGGTATAACGTTTTGTTTCAAATTGGTTGTTATGGAAACCTACTAAAATTTGATGAGAGAGACAGTTCAATGAACTATTCATGACTGAATCGAAAGAGCTGAACTATTTAAATGTTAACGACGTAATGAATTACAATGGTGTTGAGGTTTATCTGTGATTGGAAATTTCTTCAGTTTTATCACTTAATCGCTGAAGTAGTGGGTAGGGAGGTACGCCATTTTAGCACTATTCCAGCCATATCACGCTTTGGGGACTCCATAAATGGACTTCTCACATCTAGGGAATTGAACGGGGCTGACGAACGAACTCATACAGCCAACCAGAATAGTTGAATACAGAAGAGGACCATATCTCTCGATAACGGGTGTGTGTTTTACACAATGGATGCATAAATTTGGAAATATATATTATCCGAACAAAATGACATTGTGTTTATGTAAGAAGTGTAAGTGAAGAGGATCAATGAAGAATTGGAAACTAGGAGATTTAGTCGAAGATATATCAATATAAGTTTGTATAACTTCAGGGAAGGTGTTGTAAGTCACCAACCCGTGTGCAAATTACAGATTATTTTGTAGAAATGTAGTAGGATTGATATTTCAGAAAGGGAATGAGTGAGAGAGAGCTTGTGTGAGTGCGTCAGTGGAAGGATGGGTGGGTGAGTGGGTTTGTGAGGTGAGTGAGTAAGTGGGTGGGTGAGTGAGTGGGTAGGTGGATGGGAGTGGGGTGAGTGAGTGTGTTGGTGTGTGGATGAGCGAGTGGGTGGGTGAGTTGATGAGTAAGAATGTGAGTGTGTGACTGAGTGAGTGAGTGCTTGGGTGAGTGCGTGAGTGGATGGATGGTTGGGTGAGTGGGTTTGTGAGAGGGTGAGTGTGGGTGGGTGAGTGAGTGGGTAGGTGGGTTGGAGTGGGGGTGAGTGAGTGTGCTGGTGTGTGGATGAGCGAGTGGGTGGGTGAGGTGATGAGTAAGAATGTGGGTGTGTGACTGAGTGAGTGAGTGCTTGGGTGAGTGCGAGGGTGGATGGATGGGTGGGTGGAAGGGTTTGTGAGAGGGTGGGTGAGTGGATAGGTGAGCGAGTGTGTTGGTGTGTGAGTGAGCAAGTTGATGAGTAAGAGTGGGTAAGATGGTGAGTGAGTGAGTGTTTTTGCGAGTGAGTGGCTGGGTGAGTGGGTGTGTTACGATGTGTATGTGTTGGCGCATGATTTATTAATCATGTGTTGTTAATCGAACCTGATCGCATAGGCCTCACTAGCGGTTTCTTGCCCTCTTATGTAAGTTTATGAGAATGTGTAGGAATTAACAAAACGTGTGTGACTTGTGCAGACAGGCTGAGTGCTTCAGGAGAAGAGGATGCACGACTTTGCGTGACGTAGTATCACAGTTATCAGTACTTACAAAGATCCATTTTAAAGAGGGTTTGTGATAAGAGAGATTGTGTATGAATTGACAGGAGAACCTATGACTATTGAGAATACAGAATCATTACAGTTTCAAGAGACTGACGAACAACGACCAGACAAACTAGACACAGCAGAAGGAATCTTCTACACTAGGACACTACCAGTGACTTGGACACAGAGATACTGAGCAAAGAGTTGGTAGAGATTGGCTCTCTGACCAACCTGGGGTACCTCAAACATCGTCTCCCAGTAGGTGCCGCCTCCCGCGGTGCCCCAGATATAGTCGGTCTGCTCGACCAATTCGCTGATGGTGTCAAACGGCAGTTTGTCCTTGTTGACGGTGAGAAAGGCGATAAGGTTGCCGCTGTAGGTGGCGGCCATGACGATGGAGAATAACCACCAGCAACTGACCACTGTCCGTCCGGCCTGAGAGTCCGGCAGGTGCTCGCCTCCTGGAAAGGGAAAATTAGTCACTTAGATGATGATCCCTGCACGCATGTGGTTTTCACTGAACTGATGCTAAATCTTGTGCGAAAAGGACGAAATCGAATAAGAAGAATGAGTTAGTGAGTGAGTTTGGTTTATCGCCGCTTTGAACAGTATTCCAGTTACGACGAGTCAGCTTATTGAGTGAGGAAGCCGAACGTCTGTGACGTTTATTACTTTGAGGAAACCCATGAGCACAGATATGGTACTGGCAACCCTAGAAACCGAGATTCGAGAACACGTTCCTGGCGTGCCCAAGGGACGCAAATCTGCACAGCGAACTGCGATGCCTTAGACGACTGGGCCACCCGTGCCTCCGTATGAATAAAAAAACTACTTAATTAAACACGAAGATAACAAGAGATTGTTTTCCTGCTTGACTTTATACAACCTCAATGCCAGTGATGAACCAGTCTCGATTATCTGCCGTAAATGATTATACTGGGTGAATGAGGTGGAAATTATATGAATGGATCACTGAACATCCCTGATGACACCAAGTGTTCGCGAAAAGGGTAAGCATGTTAGTACCCTACCGGTAGATAAAATCACTGAACACGCCGGTATATCTGCTTATATAGAAGCTTTTATGTGTTTTGAAACAGATTAAAAGATATAGAGAATACATGTGCCATATATTAGTGATCTGTGGAATGGTATATATAAACTGCCGGGAAAGAGTGAGTGTGTATGGTTTTACGCCGCTTTTAGCAATATTCCAGCAATATCACGGCGGGGGACACAGAAATGGGCTTCACACATTGTACCCATGTCGGGAATCGAACGCGGGTCTTCGGCGTGACGAGCGAACGCTTTAACCACTAGGCTACCCGACCGCCCCTGCAGGGCAAGAGAAAGTATACATTTGAAAACTGGATTTGACCAAAAATTACAAACGTCATCAAAACGTTACTAGTCTGATGAACTGTAAACTTAAGGTCCAAACAACAACGTTAATACCCGGGTCACATACATCACCATCGAATATCATTTCGTTCTTGTTTCATTTTAGCCACCATCAAACATGGGAGAGTACAGTTTATGCCCGGCAGTTTATATTTGTCAATTGTGAAATCAGTCATTTGACAAATGACTAAAACTGTGATCTCTAGTCTTTCATTGGAATGACTACATTTTCTAGCCAGGTGCCCAAGATTTTATTATGGCTGTTACAGTTCTTAACGCTACTGATTTTCACCGAGGACGGGGCCCGTGAAGATCCGGTGTAGAAATGGTCTTCAGCAACCCATGTTTGCCGTAAAAGGCGACTATGCTTGTCGTAATAGGCGACTAACGGGATCGGGTGGTCAGGTTCGCTGACTTGTTTGATGTATGTCATCGATCCCAATTGCGTGGATTGATGCTTATGATATCAATCACTGGATTGTCTGGTCCAGACTCGATTATTTGCAGACCGCCGTCATATCGCGTGAACATTACTGAGTACGACGTTAAACAACAAACAAACAAAACAAAACACCGAGGAAGGTACAATCACTATACCGGAGAACTTACCTTGTGTAAGCAACGCTCCGTACATATACCAGAACGCATCCCCGAACATGGACTTTTCCTTTTTCTTGCCCTCATAGTACGGGTTCCAGCGCTCTACTAGGAAGTAGAACGTCGTGACCCCCAAGAGTGCTATGAAGATGCACATGAGGACCTGCCACTTGAAGGGGTCGATTAACGTTCGCCACTTAGTCCTGTTCGGATCCGGCTTTTTGATGAGAACGGTAGTGTACTCGTAATAATAGGGGAAAATAAAGTCCACCACTTTTTCCCTGTCTGGTTCGATGGATAGAGGTGCCACGACCATATCTACCTCCTGCAAAACAGAACAATGATCAACACATGGCAAATGTTCAGCGGTACCTATGCTGCTCTTCCTCTACAGAAAGTCACATCTTGAACTTTATGCATATAACAGTGTCATTTATCCCACACTTCTTCGGAATTTTGTTCTCATCATTCCACCATACGCACCCCTTTCGTTCTTCTCCTATCCTATTTCCCTCCCAGTCCCCCTTTCCTCAATTCCAGTCTTCCTATCCTTCCTTCGTTCCAGTCTCCCTCCCCCTCTTCCAGTCTCCCTTCCCCTCTTCCAGTCTTCATACCCCCTTCCAGTCTTCCAATCCTCCCTACGTGCCAGTCTCCCTTCCCCTCTTCCAGTCTTCATACCCTCTTCCAGTCTTCCAATCCTCCCTACGTGCCAGTCTCCCTCCCCTCTTCCAGTCTTCATAACCCCTGCCAGTCTTCCAATCCTCCCCACGTGCCAGTCTCCCTTCCCCTCTTCCAGTCTTCATAACCCCTGCCAGTCTTCCAATCCTCCCTACGTGCCAGTCTCCCTTCCCCTCTTCCAGTCTTCATACCCTCTTCCAGTCTTCCAATCCTCCCTACGTGCCAGTCTCCCTCCCCTCTTCCAGTCTTCATAACCCCTGCCAGTCTTCCAATCCTCCCCACGTGCCAGTCTCCCTTCCCCTCTTCCAGTGTTCATAACCCCTGCCAGTCTTCCAATCCTCCCTACGTGCCAGTCTCCCTTCCCCTCTTCCAGTCTTCATAACCCCTGCCAGTCTTCCAATCCTCCCTACGTGCCAGTCTCCCTTCCCCTCTTCCAGTGTTCATAACCCCTGCCAGTCTTCCAATCCTCCCTACGTGCCAGTCTCCCTTCCCCTCTTCCAGTGTTCATAACCCCTGCCAGTCTTCCAATCCTCCCTACGTGCCAGTCTCCCTTCCCCTCTTCCAGTCTTCATAACCCCTGCCAGTCTTCCTTCCCTCCCTACGTGCCAGTCTCCCTTCCCCTCTTCCGGTCTTCATAACCCCTGCCAGTCTTCCAATCCTCCCTACGTGCCAGTCTCCCTTCCCCTCTTCCAGTCTTCATACCCTCTTCCAGTCTTCCAATCCTCCATTCCCTGTCTCTTAGGTCTTCAGCAACCTATGGTTGTCATAAAAGGCAACTATGCTTGTCGTCAGAGGCGACTGACGGCGTCGGGTGGTCAGTTTCGCTGAAATGGTTGATGCATGTCATCGTATCCAAATTACGTAGATCGATGCTCATGATATCAATCACTGGATTGTCTGGTCCAGACTCGATCACTTACAGGCCGCCGTCATACAGTTGGAATATTGCTGAGTGCGGCGTTAAACAACAAACAAACTGCCTTCCTATCCTCCCTCCCACTCTTCCTATCCTCCCTCCCTGTCTTCCGACCCACCCTCTCAGTCGTCTAATCCTCAAACCCAGTCTTCCAATACTCCCTCGCACTCTTCCAATCCTCTCTCCCACTCTTCCTACCCTCCCTTCCTCAAAGTCTTCCTTCCCTTCCTCCAAGTCTTCCTACCCACCCTTCCATTCTTCATATCCTTCTTTCCATTTTTCCTACCCTACCCTACCCTACCCTACCCTACCCTACCCTACCCTACCCTACCCTACCCTACCCTACCCTACCCTACCCTACCCTACCCTACCCTACCCTACCCTACCCTACCCTACCCTACCCGTTCCCTCATAATCTGCCAACCCTCTCCCCTCTCTTCATCTCTGAACTCCCTCCACCCACCTCTCGCTCCAACTGTCCAATAAGTCCGTTGAAGCTTCCATTTACGAGCGCTCCCCACGCCTTGTCCTTCGGCATTGTGAGGTTGTAACTGTCAAAACACAGGGGCAAGTCAGCTTCACATGGTCATTTAAAAGAACCCTGGTTTATGTTAAGGTATCCTTTACATGATATGAGACACTTGAACACATGAGTGAACGCAATTTTTAATTAAGTACTAAAGGGTCGTTTTCTGTCAACCTTGCATCCAATTTCAAGATTGTTTCTACAAAATATTTTATTGCCTTTACTTGATATATATGTCGTCCTGAACATTGAGCATTAGAAATGTCTACTAGAGCTTAGCAGAGAACGGATAAATTACTTGTCATCATTAACATCCCATCAAGTGATGATTTATCAGCATCTCCTAGGAGGACAAATACACGTTCGTGAAATTTAAAAAAAAAAATACACGTCCCCATGTCCACATTCTGGTAAAATTTCCAAATGTCAAATAATTAAACTGGTGTCGACAAGAATACTTATTTTCAGGTCACATACATCCGGGGACTCTACTCGGTACACATCTGGGCCCACTTGCACAAAGCGATTTTAGCGCTAAGATGATTGTAACTCCCATACTTTAACATAGGCTTAAGATAATCTTAGCGCTAAGATCGCTTTGTGCAAGTGGGACGGATGTGTACCGATTCAGAGGCTTTGATCATCGTTGTGGAGGTCGTTCATAAGTTACCGTTCAGTATTGAATACTACGCAGCACCACTGTCTCCAGTGAAGGGTATTTACATCTCCAGTGAAGGGTATTTACGTCTCCAGTGAAGGGTATTTACGTCTCCAGTGAAGGGTATTTACGTCTCCAGTGAAGGGTATTTACTTGTCTTGGCGGGCGTACAGTCATCTCACCTGAGTGAGTGAGTATGTTTTTACGCCGCTTTTAGCAATATTCAAACAATAGCACGGCGGGGGACGTCAGAAACATATTGTACTTATGGCTTGTCATATTGTACCCATGTGGGGAATCGAACCTGGGTCTTCGGTGTGACGAGCGAACGCTGTAACCACTGCCCAGCTTACCTGAAGTTGAGAGACGAGGCTAACTCCTTCAACAGGTCCATACAGAAACCTTCAAACTTCTCGGTTGTGTTTGTCTCGATCACAAACGGTTCCCACTAGAACATACAAAGAATGTTTCAGTATTGTGCATTTACTTTACTTAGTGGAAATCCACTTTATTTCAAAGGTTTTTTTTATGATACATCCACTTAATCACAGTGAGCACTTACCCCATCAAAGTAAACACTAAATAAATCAAAGTTGACACTTACATTATCATGGTGAACACCGATTTTGTCATAGTGAACACCCATTCCATCATAGTGAATGCTCACAGGATCACAGTGAACAGGCAACCGTCACAGTGAACACGCACTTCATCACAGTGAACACTCACTCCATCACAGTGAACAATCACAGCAACACTGTGAACACTCACTCCATCACAGTGAACACTCACTCCATCACAGTGAACACTCACTCCTTCAAAGGGGGCACCTGTCACCTCGACGTAATCACCCAACACATTTAAGGACACATTCAACATGATAGTGAACACTTACCACGTTCGTTGAAATATTGAACAACCTATTGTTGAAGCCAAAGTTGGTGTTTGGAAAGATTTCCACGTCGCTGTAGATGTTGAGATGCCCGGTCCGATTAACGTAGCCAACGGAGCTGAGGCGCCTGACGCCTCCTGACTTCCACAGTAACGTGGAGACGTCGCTCCGCCAGCAATGTGCCTGGGATTCCAGCAACTGCAACAGACAAAACAACAATATACACATTGTCCCTTGTACAACGTTATACCCAAGAGCGTCATCAGTGACGAGAGAAGAGTGAGTGAGTTTGGCTTAACGCCGCTTTGAATATTATTCCAGTTATATCACGGTGTGTCAGCTTAAGGTGGGAGTATTGCCCACCAGCACAGGTATGGTGCTGACAAACCTAGAAACATAATCGGGACGAACCGGGATTCGAACCCACAATCATAGGTTTCTTGCGTGCCCAAGGGACGCAACAGTGCACAGCGAATCGCGCCTCAGACGACTGTAGGCGAAGGCGAAGAGCTCATGAGCCGTAATACCCCATGTATATATACTACAGACAACAAATACGGGAATTAATGACTTGAATGTAGCTATCGACGAGGTGTATATTTACAATATCGTGGCGTTGCATCTGTTGGTGACGTAGCGGCGAGCGGTATGTTGGTGACGTAGATGCGAGCGGTATGCCAGGGCAACAATTCTTGATCTTGGACGGAATGCGGGGGCTAGTGTCATATAGTGGGGTGATATCACAACTGATGTATTGTTAATGGAAATTTGACTGCCCAGCGATATGTTGACGAAATGGTGCTTCCTGTCGTTGTTCCATTCACGATAATTATCGGCAGAAATTTTGAACAGAAGACGACACTGCCAGACCACATCGTGCACAGGTTGTCACCGATATATCTCCGACGTGAAGGCATACGGACATTGGACTGGCCCGCTAAACCCCCTGACATGATCCCATATAGAGCATCTGTGGATGTACACGGGCGGAGAGTGTAGTCACAGACCCAGCACCAGCCAACGTGGCCCGGCTCTTCAGACGAAATGGCAGAGCAATACCAAAGACAACCGTACTCAAACAACAGTATGCCAACAGTGAGTGTGTTGGGTGTGACGCCGCTTTAAACAGTATTATCAGGGCGTGTCAGCTTAATGTGAGAGGAAAGCCCGAAGTGATGCAGGTCTCAACGTTTACCACTTCGGTGAAACCCACGAGCTCGGGTATGGTGCTGACAAACCTAGAAACATAATCCAGGCGAACCGGGATTCGAACCCCTAATCATAGGTTTCTGGCGTGCCCAAAGGGACGCAACTCTGCACAGCGAATCGCGGCGCCTTAGACGACTGGGCCACCCGTGCCCCCCAGTATGCCAACAAGGTGTCGTGAATGTACCGCCCACTATGGTGGACAAACCAGATATTGATCTACACGCCCGACATTAATTTACAAACATTCATCGTCATTACACAATCAATATCGTTTCATCATATTTTTGGTCGGTGATATATGTATATTATCCCCCTGTGATATGTGATATGTATACCACTACTCCATAACAAATGAATGATGTTGTTTAGGCACCTGTGCCATTGCTACATAACCTCACCAATTATTCATCGCATTCATTTTATGCACCAATAATCCTCGGGTTCAAGCCTCTAAACAGTCTATGCCAGGCCAAGGCTGAAGTGGTGTGAGTCTCCTGAGACAATGAATGCCGCTACAGGCAGTCGTTTTTCTCATCACGAAACGGAGCCTCTACACGTGAAAGATTGACCTCAGCGCATCAGTGAACGCATGTAATCAAACGCGTACATCGAAGGTAGTATATTGTCCAGAAGATTCTGATATCATATCTCGATGATTTGTTTAATTTGATCACGAAAATTTAATTTAGCAGATATGTCTTTATGTAAATAACCTGTTTATTGCCGTTTGTGTACCCCTTTTACGTTTGTAGCTTATCTATTTTAATATCATTTAGTTTAAGATCTTGCTATTTAACGATTTTATATATTCTAGAAAAAGGTATTTTGTAATGTAAATGTAACGTCAAGTGTGTATAATTGTATATATATTCTAACAAAACAAGACGTAGACATGTATTGATTTATGATCATTTGGTGTTTTTTAATTAAATGTCGGATTGAATGCGAAAATCGATACTATAACCAGTGGTATCTGTTCCAATGAGACGCTACACCCACTAGTTGATGGACTGCTACTTTGAGGAAATGATTACCATTGGAATACGTCAGGTGTTAATGGGTACCACACGGAGTAACAGTATTTCAAAGAGAACAGTAAATATACATGACGGTCATTCAGACATTGTTTTGCATTTCCATCGATTCTGAATATAATACTACTTGTAATTTTCTTTTCAGGTATATTTACATAATGATTCGGGATGACTAAGGATGTTTTGTGTACACGTGACAAGAAATAAACAGCTCCTGGTTAAAATAACTCCGACGTAACCAGATTAGCCAGGAAATCATACACAGATATAAAAGCTAAGTGTTTTCGTTAGTGCTGACACAAGCGATCGAAGAACCCCCACTTGCACTGCATGAACTTTGTGTATGGCAGAGATACGACCTCATCAGTTTGTACCTAAACGCCGAGGACGGATAGCCATCCAAGCTGCATCATTTCTTAACGAATGGATTTGTTTACGCTTATGTTTCAAAGAATATATGGAAGTACACATGGAACTGAAATTGTGCCATTATTGCCGTGTATCATACACGTGATATTTCACGAGATTACGTGTATTGTTTACCAAAGCATGTACATTATGCGCAAGTTTAATTTTTTATTCCAAATAAGGGGATCAACAGTATGACTTTTCGAGTGGACCGCCTCCGTGGTCTAGTGGTAGAGTGTCCACCCCGAGAGCGGAAAGGTCCTGGGTTCGATCCCCGGCCGCGTTATACTAAAAGACGTTTAAAGATGGTACCCTGTGAGTCAATATACTGTGTCTGAGTGGGGTATGCATGTTCATCTGCGGCATGGTATATCAGTGAGCTAGAACTATAAATCGGCATAAGTCCGGACTAGTACAAGCAGCCACACACACGTGCATGCACGTAGCCCAGTGGTTAAAATGTTCGCTCGTCACGCCAAAGACCCAGGTTCGATTCCCCACATGGGTGCAATGTGTAGAGCCCATTTCTAGTGCCCTCCCCCGTGAAACTGGTGGAATAATGCTAAAAACGCGCAATATCATACCCACTTACTCCTTGACATAAACTTGACTGAAATAAGCTGAGATTAACATTCTTCATTAGTAAATTGCTGTCTAGTGTGGAGCAACGGGGATGATATGTACAAATGTTCCAGTGTTACAATTAAACGAAAGAAAATTATTTTAGTGAGAAGGAGGCGTATTTCTTTATGATTGAATACAAGAAACGGGCATTGAGTGTGATACAAGGAAGTTTCACCTGTGATACGCTCCTCATTGACTTATAGAAGTATATCCTGTAGGACAGCGAAGTTCACTACAAAGTGTTCTAGTTCTACACACGTGTATTCTTGCTTCCAATCACACACAAAGGTGTACACTGACACACACGGCAATGCTGATTGTTTCTCTATGGTGAAGTGTTATAACACTGAAGTTTCAGCTCTACAAACAGACCACGGAGGATCGTGAGGTGAGAATACGGTTTGACCTCGCGTTAGAAAGATTAATGCACAATGTGCGTGCGTGCGTGCGTGTGTGCGTGCGTGTGTGTGTGTGATTCTACTGGTCTATGTCGTTTGTATAATGCCAAACCTCTGAGATACCATGTTACAGTTTACATGGATACCCCACTCAGACACCGTCTACTGACTCCGAGCCGACCAGTCCTTAATGCCGAGCGCAAGGCAGGGCAACAACAAGTACTCCTTTAACGTCTTAAGGTATGACGCGGCAGGGGATCGAACCACCGGACTTCCATTTTCAGGGCACGATCACCACTGGGCCACTGAGGCTGTTTACTTACATGAATATTTCATACTTTTGTCATACGGAGCATCGATTGCATTGTGGGATCCTTCGTTGTGCCATGTGTTGAATATGATATACTTCATGAATCTTCACAACAGGTGTGAATAGATAGATGCACGTCACTTACTGCTGATTGTCAATCTTGTTATGTATCCTGTTCACTACTGCTCCACGTGTTTGGACTACAACAGCTGGCTCGTACAAAGCTGTACAACACAGTACAACAGAGTATTCCTCCACAGATGGGAGACAGACTCATTTAGTACCATGGCAACGCTCTGTTAAGTAAATTCGATATAGGTCGTGATGCAATGGACCGTGTAATCGCAGGATGAATATTGGGATGAATACACCTGAAGGTTTAGCATAGCATTGTGTATTTCAATAGACCTTATAGTTCCATATATACCAGCAGTTTAATCCTAGACAATAATGTCCGTCTTGAAAGTTTTGCGCAATGAAATTATTGCGAGTGGCTAAATATAGCCTTAACTGTGTCTGGAAAAGTTTGCGACATCCTGATGATGATAAAAGATACGCTTGCACGTGTTGTTTTGCAATATACGCTGCGCCAGGATTGTTAGCAGCAAATATAAGGAAGCCACACAATAAATCGCAAAGAACAAGGAAAAACGAAGTGTGGTTTATTTCTTGATAAAACATTGTTCTATCAGGATGTCATTTCTGGAGATTCAAACATGCGCTCGCAACTTGATGACGTCGTACATTGGACGACGTTGTTTTTGAGAGGGGAGTGTCTAGTCAGTTGTTCCCCATAGATGTAGCAGGGCAACGCAGATAAACGCGATGGCCGAACGATCGCATCCCAAAGGAGGAGAGATACAACAACCGGTATTGGGAAAGGTAATCGATGTGAGGATTGTGAGAATACGCGAGAAAAACCCACCGGTGCTTAAAATGGACTTGTCCGACATTGCCGAGGTCGGATTATATTGAGGGAGTCATCATTATTATAATACGGGTAAATATATGTAAAGATTGAACATTTTAGCATCATCTTTAAAGAGGCAGTAAATAATGTTGATATTTCTCATATAAGAAATATACTATTTCTGGTCGTTGTTTATTGTACAATAAAACACTGTGCCCCTCATGATTTATTCTTACTGCAGTGTTTTATCGTACGATAAACAACTCCCACTCGTCTTTTATTTCTTAAATAAATATTTGTTGGAGTTACTGAGAGTCTACGGTCAAAGATCACCAAGGGGCCGCAACTCGCTCATATATGCGTTCATTTCTCTGTGGTCGTGATCGTGCTTTATGATTTGTCGCCACCATACCCGCGTTCGTGGTTTTCACTGACTAGAACAACCTCGGTCGCTTAGACCTTTCAATTTGCATCAAACTGTCCCGCCATGATATAACTGAAATACTGTTCAACAATGCGCTGAGCCCACCCGTCACCTAACGGTCGCAACGTAATGCAATTTACTGGAAGAATATAGCCCTATCGTGACGAGTGAGTACGTTGGGTGTAGCGCCACGATGAACAGTATTCCAGTTATATCACGGCGTGTCAGCTTAACGTGGCCGGAAAGCCCCAAGTAATACATGTCTCGTTTACCACTTTGGTAAAACCCACGAGCACGGTATGGTACTGACAAACCTAAAAATATAATCAGGCTGAACCGGGACTTGAACCCACGATCATAGGATCCTAGCGTACCCAGGGGACGCAACTCTGTACAACGAATTACCGTGCTCCCTAATCTTGACTAGGACTTAGACCTTATCATATACGCGCTAAGTCGCGATTATCACGGATATATCAAAACGGATGACAATATAAAGATGTCTATGTGCACACATTCGTCTTGTACCAATAGAAATACGACGAGTTCATAGAAACACGTAACGATCGTCGTTTATCAATACATGTCCAATATACACCCGGTACCAACGTTATCCAGGCTTTCCCTTCAGTGGCGAGACGTGATGGAGTAGGTCAACATGCGGTATTAGTTTCCCTCTCAACGACGCCGCTACATATTTAGTTTCCGTTAATTACACACGAATAAAGCACGTGGCCTCATGAGAAACCTTTATCACTTATTTACCTTCACCTCCGTGTCTCATGCAGGTAAATATGTACCGTGTGGGGAAATCAACATCTATTGATTATCAACGGTACTGATCGTACAGCCCTTTTATGCTCTTTTTGTTATTTGCAAGCAATCTTGCGCTTTTAATGGCTACAACAATGAAACAAGATGCAGACCCAGTTTATTACTTAAGAATGATGTTTTTTAATACATTTTTTAGATTTGATTATAAATTGCCGGCAAAAAGAAAGTATGCACCCATGTTTGAGGGTGGCGAAAATTAAACAAACAAGAAATGGTTATTCGATGGTGATGTGTTTGCTCAGGGTATCATAGATGTGTTTTGGAGCTCAAGTTTGCATTGTTTCCGTGTGTTCAACCAAATAACGTTTCATAACGTTTGTAATATGTTGGTCAAATACAATTTTCTGGTGTATACTTTGTTTTGGCCGGCAGTTTATTTAGCCTTTCGACCCAACAGGATTCTTTGAAGTTTACATTTCAGTACAAGTTTATTTAACACCTCAAATTAAAATATTCCCAAAACTCTTATCTGATTCTTTCTTCGGTATCGGACATAGATAAACATGTCGGTATGAGTGGCGATCTTAGTAATTGATGGTCATCATGTCCAGAGGATGTCCGGTAGTATAGATACAGGGGCTGTAATAGTGAGTGAGTGAGTGAGTGAGTTGGGTTTTACGCTGCTTTTGACAGTATTCCAGTCATATTACGGCGTGTCAGCTTAATGTGGGAGGAGAGCCCGAAGTGATGCAGGTCTCAGACGTTTACCACTTCGGTGAAACCCATGAAGAGGGGTACGGTGCTGACAAACGCAGAAACATTATTGGTCTATGACAGGTGTATGGCATGAACAAGGGACGCAACTCTGCAACCCGTGCACCCTGTTGCTAATTGAAGAAACGACGAGTGGTTTATTCTCCCAGCAGTGACTTATTGTACGATATATAAACAAGACCAGTAGTCTTCTATTTCATATATGAAATATCAAAATGACAGGCTAAATATGTTAATAAAATGTACAAGCTTTAAAATATCTACTCGTACATAAATAATGATGACTCGACCCGGCAATGTTGGACAAGTCCATTTTATTAACAGGGTGGTTAAGTGTGGTATTTCCCGAATATTCTCATATTGTATACGTCGCTCATGCGTACCTTTTCGCCAAATACCGATTGTCATATAATAATAATAATAATAATAACAATAATAATAATTGATTTGTAAAGCGCCTAATATCCATCGACAGTTGCTCACTCGCGCTGTGACAAAGTTAAAAAGTAATGTCTATGTACATATGCCAACAATCAGGAGATCTATTGAAAAGCTGAAGTGAAGAAATGGGTTTTGAGGAGAGACTTTAACGTTTCCTTAGAAGCAGAGTTTCTCAGGTTCAAAGGCAAAGAGTTCCATAACTGTGGACTGCAAAAGGAGAAGGCACGGTCAGACATAGCAGAAGTAGACAGAGGCTGATACAGTAGAGTTCCACCAGAGGATCGGAGAGCACGCTCTGGAGAGTACCCGGATATAAGATCTTTGAGATAGTCTGGATAGTCGCTATTGTTGAGGCAGTCGTGAGTGATGATACATATCTTATAGTTTATACGAAAGGAGACTGCGACTTTGAGGTGCGATCGATCGGCCATTGCGTTGATCTACGTTACGAACAACTCATTGGACCATCACTTCCCTCTACAAAATAACTTCGTCCAATTAACGACGTCATCAAGTTGCCCTCGCATGTTCGAATCTCCAAAATTAGGCCATGATAGAACAATGTTTGATCGTAAAATAAACCATGCTTCGTTCTTCATTGTTTTTTGCGATTTATCGCGTAGCTATCTTACATAAGAAAGATATAATATATTCAATTGCTGAACATTATTATGGCTTCCTTATTTATCACGACTGAGGTTTGAATATTAATAATAATTAGGGTACACATGAACTTATAAATCATAATAGTGATTCTTAATCATTATGGTTGGGTAGTAGAAAGGCAGGATATATTACAATATATATGTATAATAATAATAATAATTATAATAATAATAATAATAATAATCCCAAACCCTCTTTGCAGCATTTTTTATTTTAATCTGTAAATAATAATAATAATAATAATAATGATAATAATAACAATCATCATCATCATCATCATCATAATAGGAAACACTGATTACACTAAATAGTGTGAGTTATTAATATGTTACATCGTTGTCATTCAAAGGATGGATGTACTCATACTTGCTCGATATTTTGTTTGATATATTCTGATGTCACAAAACATTTAGTATACAGAGAGAGACAATCGATAAACCGTCCTCTCATGAGATACCTGATGTTGTCCGTCACACAGTGATATCAAAGGCTCAACCAATCACAAACACAGGACTTGGTTTAACATTCGGCACGACCTGCACACGAAAACCTTTCTCTGTGTACTCGGCACGCACCAAGATTCAGAGATGCACCTGATTAAACTGTTCCTTGGCTTAGTCAAACATCATGGAATCGATGTCACTCTTTAGAACCAATTACCTATCGCGGTTTGCGTCCAATGACAGTGAATGACTGTCAGTCCATAAACGTTTTTGATCACTATACGTTTACACTGACCTGATGGAGATACATGAATATGTATGACTGTATATATGAATATGTATGACTATATATGAATATGTATGACCGTATATATAAATACGCATAACTCTGCAATAAGACCCATGTCTACCTACCTGCATCAGTGTGACGCTGGCATTATGTCTGATGTCGTCCATTGTGACGTTGTTGGTGTCGTTGTTGGAGCCGACTAAACGAAGGACCTTCTCTAACGTCTGCGGCAACCCCTGCATACACAGGGAGGAGGGTCAGCACACGCATAGGAAAGTTTTGCTTGTTGTTTTAACGCCGCACTCAGCAATATTCCAGCTATATGACGGCGGTCGGTAAATTATCGAGTCTGGACCAGACAATCCAGTGATTGATATCATGAGCATCGTTCAAAGAAGTCAGCGAGCCCAATCCCGTGTGGGTGAGTCTAACGTGCATGTTATAAGCCACTAGGACTTGCCTCATGACAGAGGGTGAGTGTGGCGTGCATGTTATAGGCCATTGGGACTTGCCTCATGACAGAGGGTGAGTCTAACGTGCATGTTATAGGCCACTGGGACTTGCCTCATGACAGAGGGTGAGTGTGGCGTGCATGTTATAAGCCACTAGGACTTGCCTCATGACAGAAGATGAGTGTGGCGTGCATGTTATAGGCCACTGGGACTTGCCTCATGACAGAGGGTGAGTCTAACGTGCATGTTATAGGCCACTGGGACTTGCCTCATGACAGAGGGTGAGTGTGGCGTGCATGTTATAGGCCACTGGGACTTGCCTCATGACAGAGGGTGAGTGTGGCGTGCATGTTATAGGCCACTGGGACTTGCCTCATGAAAGAGGGTGAGTGTGGCGTGCATGTTATAGGCCACTGGGACTTGCCTCATGACAGAGGGTGAGTGTGGCGTGCATGTTATAGGCCACTGGGACTTGCCTCATGACAGAGGGTGAGTCTAACGTGCATGTTATAGGCCACTGGGACTTGCCTCATGACAGAGGGTGAGTGTGGCGTGCATGTTATAGGCCACTGGGACTTGCCTCATGACAGAGGGTGAGTGTGGCGTGCATGTTATAGGCCACTAGGACTTGCCTCATGACAGAAGGTGAGTGTGGCGTGCATGTTATAAGCCACTAGAACTTGCCTAATGACAGAGGGTGAGTGTGGCGTGCATGTTATAAGCCACTAGGACTTGCCTCATGACAGAAGATGAGTGTGGCGTGCATGTTATAGACCACTAGGACTTGCCTAATGACAGTTCTAAGATGAGTGTGGCGTGCATGTTATAAGCCACTAGAACTTGCCTCATGACAGAGGGTGAGTGTGGCGTGCATGTTATAAGCCACTAGGACTTGCCCCATGACAGAGGGTGAGTGTGGCGTGCATGTTATAAGCCACTTGGACTTGCCTCATGACAGAGGGTGAGTGTGGCGTGCATGTTACAAGCCACTAGGACTTGCCTCATGACAGAGGGTAAGTGTGGCGTGCATGTTATAAGCCACTAGAACTTGTCTCATGACAGAGGGTGAGTGTGGCGTGCATGTTATAAGCCACTAGGACTTGCCTCATGACAGAGGGTGAGTGATGCGTGCATGTTACAAGCCACTAGGACTTGCCTCATGACAGAGGGTGAGTGTGGCGTGCATGTTATAAGCCACTAGGACCTATCTCAATCTAACGAGCGCATTGGTATACTGCCATATTACTTACAACTGTCATGTTGCTGACGGTGTTGCTGGGCGGGTATGTGATGACGGCGATGTTGTCCATGTCCATGCCGCACTGTTCGACGTAGGCGTTGTTGGGGTGGGGGAGAACAACTAGCCAATTGGACGCCAGCTTCATGGCAGTCTTCTTTCCGTTGACGTCGTCGAAGGCGTTGGCCTAAACACAATACCAGTCGTAAAGTAATAGAGTATAGCAGATAGTTAACGATAAACCACCAATATAGCAGATATGTCGCGATAAACCATCAATATAAGATATTTTACCATGACTATAACGGATATGTCATGGTAAATCATCAATACAACAGATGTATCATGGTTAGCCATCAATATAGCAGGGGTATCACAGTAAATCATCAATATAGCAGATATATCATGGTAAATTAAGAAAATAGCAGATATACCACGGTAAACTATGAAAATAGAGATTTATGACGGTAAACCATCACTATAGCAGATATATCACGGTAAACCATCTAAAAAGCAGATGTATCACGATAAACTATGAAAATAGCAGGTATATCACGGTATATTATGACAATAGCAGATATATCACGGTAAACCATCAATATAGCAGATACATCACGGAGAATCATAAGTACAATAAAATCGACAAAACCTTTTCTATATTTATAAGAAATATCTGCCAAAAGGCAGAATCGATGGTACGATTCCGACAATATCATGAACATGCGTCCATGAACCACCATCAAATAATGACGATACCAGTGTTCGCGAAAAGGTGAGCATATCCTGTCACACCGGTGGCATCCGTCACAAACACATGCAATGGCAAGTAAATTTTTCACCCTAAAAACACGGGAACATATGGTACAAGTCAAGATAGGGAACTACATTGGACTTAAAGTTTGGAAATGTCACCCACATACATGTATCTATCATACAACGTTTTGAAGGCTTTATTGACGCCTTGAATGTTGTAACCTTGATCATACTCAGCTGTACCTCAAACGTTGTAGAATGTAAACACCAAAGGCTGGATCGGCTGGATTATTGCTCGACATTAAGGAAAAATGACCGATTGAAAGTTGAAGTCATCCATCTTGTCATACAGTCTTGTGGAACGTGTTTTGTCACTCTGAATCTTTATGCACAGATCTAAATATGAAATAGCTGATGCAGTCTCACTGGTCACCTTTATTTCCAGTTCAGCTGGGTAGATCATTTGAAGGGAATTGGCTATTTCATGGTTATTGAACAATATAAGATCGATATTCCTGAAGCTAGGTTAAAATTCCGATTCATATTATATAGAAACAGATCTGCAAGAAAGGGAACACAGTTGGTGCCCATGAGGATGCCGACTTCTTGCCTAAATGTCTTACCCCAAAGTGTTACATAGATGTTATGAACGGAGAAGTCCAAGTCCAATTTCAAAAATGTTTTTCTCGGTAAACTTCAGATGGCATTTGCTTTCAATTTTTTCAAAATTGTTCCGAACCTCTGAAGATAGATCTGTAACTATATCTATCATCACCACATTTATTATATGAAAGCGACAAAATCCTTTCAAAAGCCCAATGGATCAAGGAATGAAGTTTCCCTTACATTTGTTATGTGGGATAGTCGTGAGAAAGTAGAAAAATCAAATGTTTTGGCAAAATTGAACTTGCTTCTTTGCTGAGACTGTAAAATTTCAAGCATCAATTCCCTTGTTTGCAAATTCTAAGTTGAAAGAACATGCGGTCTTTGTGTGATTTCGTAGAGTCCGTTTCTACTTTGTAAAAAAGCAATATCAAGAACTATAAGTCCCTGGTCGATACTGTGGGCTCTCACTGTTTGTAGACCCATCCATCAGACTAAGTTGCTATAGTCCTTGAATTTCTTTCAGTGACACGGATTATAATCTTGGTCCTACTCTGGGCAGTTCCAGTGGCTCCTTAAGAAGAGGCGACAAACCTTCCAAATGAATTGTATCATTTGTCCTTCGTCCTTTCTTGTGACAATGGCTGCGTCGACGTTTTTGGAATGCCGGGAACAGTTTTAACACACTGACGTAGGCTGTTTGTTGGTTAGAAAGACTGCTAACAACTTGTATGTTGTCATTACATCCATATGGCATTGCTGTACACAACAATGGAATCCAATGGTTTTCTCTAGACATGCTATAAGGTCCTGCATTTAAGACTATTAATTGGATAGTATATAATCTCTTAAGTCCTTACTCCCATGCAAAGGATGGAGTGATTTCAGAATTGAAATGTTGGTAGACACATTTGGAAACATTTCTATTGATGCGCCTATTTATTTTGGCTGACTCGTGTCGATAATTTCCAACATTAATCTATCCACAAAGGGTACATTCATAATATGTCTTCAAAAGGTTTTGTGCAGCATGTCTATGTGCAAAACATGTCTCATTTCAAACCATTAATATAGCATATGTATAACTGCAAACCATCAGTACAAAAAAGGTGAGCAATGAATATTATTAATATATCACGGTGAACCATCAATTTAACAAATGTGTAACGCTAAACCATTAGCAGAGCAGATTTTTCACGGTAAACCATCAATATGACCAATACAACTATCAATATAACAGATTTCACGGTGATGTCATATTACACCGATTATTAATAATATGGTGGTCTAACAAAATAACTATTAATGGTGAGCAAAGCAATATCTAAGCGAAAATGCAGTATTGTAGCTGTATCTCAGCAGGCTGGCATCACACATACACATCCTCTTAGCATGATTTTGTGCTGTTAATCAATTTCTAAATGTGTGCTCACGTTTTTCCACTATAGTAATTTCAAAAGGAGGGCTCACACTTCTAATCGCTAAATATGTAATTATTGGCTATATAACAACATATGTTGGTATCGTTTTGATATATTGATTGGGAATTTCTTTATAAATTATATAGTATGACATGGCCTTCATGTTAGCAACACAATGTTTTAATAGCGTGACAAGCTGATCAAAAACATTCGATAGACCCTCAGCCGTGTATTCAATGTTTATTCTTAAATTGGAGGCCTAAGGCCCATTCTACAATTGCATCATTGCTTGAGAGAGTAACGGTAATATATACATTGGTACACTGATATACATTGTTCACCCAAATGATTGTCTTAGTTGCATTGATTAATATACCAAAGTTGCTAGATTTATTACAGTTTCGGGACTTTTTGAATACCTTCATAACTTACATTTATGTAATGTTGGATATATAAGTAGTATTTTGGGGTATATACGAACACTTGAAATTTTCATAAACATAACACATAACATCTGATTTTACCTTTTTAACATGTTTACCAGTTTCAGTTCGGAGCTGATGTGAACAACATGTAAGCTGAGATAGTGCAGCACGGAATTTTGAAATGGAAATATCTTTAAAACAGAATTCGAGGACAAAGGACATTTTGAAAGAGACGTAGGTTACCAATTAAGAACTAGAAACAAGTGTCGTTTGCCATTTATGCTCATAGCATAATTTTAGTCTATATACAAACTTGATACATTATATACACATTCTTGTTGCCAAATATATCCGAAACCAGACCTGAATACAATATCTTTAAGTTATGAAGCTCAGTAGGTTTTTCCATTCACAAAATCTAAAACTAATAAATTGTTACATCTCTTCACATATTTGGTGTCTGGCATATTAATTAGTTTACACCAGTATATAAACTCACTGTTAAAAAGGATATCGGCCACATTCACCTCTAACTGTATGACTTGAAGATGGTGTGACACACACGAAGCGTTTACAAGCAACCATTCGCATTGTTTACATTTATTTTTGCGGATTTCTGAACCATAAAGTTACATTGGAGTAATATTGGTATCAAAATTTGAAAAACATAAATCATATGGGAACGGTTTTATTATATATAAGGATTTGAATACACCACAAAGAATCGTCTTCGCTTGCACAGCAACATGACGAACGTGACGAGGCCATGACAAAGATCTCGAGAAAACAACACACAAATATTTATAGAATGCAACAGTTGTGCCATACAAATACCATTGTTCACAGATAACCGGTGACATTCACAGAAACATTCCAAAACGTTGATACGTTTTGTGGACCACATGCAGAATCAGCTAAAAACACGTCATCTGCAGATAATGGGAGAAATAGCTGTATAATATCAGGATGCATGTGTATGCCATGTTCGCAGTTTTCCTCAGTTTCTAAAGCTCTTTAATATACATGGAAAATATTGGGGGACTTAACACACATCCTTGTCTTAAACCCAATGGACATTCAAAATCTTATGAGAGGTTGTTGTGTTCGAGCACTAGGCCCTTTACACATTACTACATAGATGTGAGAGCATTGAGTAGGTTAGGGTCTTCAGAATCACCTTCCTTATACTTTAGTACAATTACCGCCGTACCCCAACTGTCTGTAAAAAACAGATGAATCAAACAATAATGATAATAATTCATCCATTGAGTCCTTGAAGAATTCAGGTATTATTTTATCTTCACCGGGTTTTAATTTATTGATAGCTGTAGTAATTTCCCCTTCGTAATCCTTTATTAATGCATTGTGTTAATAAATCATTGAACTATCATTTGGTTATGCTTAGTCAATGTGTCTATAATGCAATCGGTATGTCCATGTCCAATGTATTTACTTTTTAATTCACGCGGATGTGTTCACGACGGGATCGTAGCCTTTTGACAATTACGAGTCGGCTCCTCCATGGGTGAGGCGTAAATCAAGCTCCGCGACAGTAGTCTCAGCGTTGGCTCACCACGCCCAACTGATGGACAGAGTTGTGAAACACCACCCTACCCTCCTCTATTTCACGCCTCGGGATGGGCTCCATTTTGGATTTTATTCTCTATATTTTGTAGATATATATTTTTAAATAAGATAACTTTATTTCTGGACACAATGTCAGTCTCCATCACGCCGCACCATGACCGGGTCGGCGAAAGATCCTACTTACTTCATGACGCTGACAGTCGGAACAACCACGTTGAACTTACATATTATTTGTTGCTGGTTGTGCACCAGCATGTGTAATGGTTAAATATTAAAATGACAAAAGCTGACTCGACACTTTTTACTGCTTTGAACATTGATTTCCGACACAGATGTATTACAAGTATAATGAGCTTCAACAATCGATCCCTGGAACATTCAAATCTCGTCAACTCAAAGCAGGATGTTTATGAATTAGTCACGGAGATTTGCAGCTTTCTATTCAGTGAGGAACTCATATTTGCTGAATAACAAAATAGGATAATAACAAGGAAATTGTATACAACCATTTTCACCTTCATTTTCAGTTGGCTTTTAAAAAAACTGTGTTGGATGGGATAAATTTACATTGAACATTACGTTTTGGAATGGATATGGTAAACATGTCTATTGATTCGGCATCCCTCCTAGTTATAACGTTGGCGTGTCGTTGCCGTTGTGGTGTGATCGATTCTTCTGGCAGCGAGGATGACCATGTCCACATGACACTCACTGTTTAAAGCTGTCTCGATAAAAACCAAACACCAGTATAATGAAACTCAAGTCTGCCATTTCGAACAAACCCTCATGACAATTACCGGGGCGTGCTGGGCTGAAGGCGATTTACATGTGAGAGCATTGATTGTAAGTAAGTTCTAATTGCGGTGTTGACAAGGCACGCTCTGAACACAGTGGCAAATAATGAGGAATATACTACCTCCAGTTTGTACAGTGTTGTCTTCCACTCCGTATGTATGTAATATATTAAGTTTTGTTTAATAAAAAAGTATTTGGTTTGGTTTGGTTTGTTGTTTAACGCCGCACTAGAAATATTCCAGCTATATGACGGCAGTCTGTAAATAATCGAGTCTGGACCTGACAATCCAGTGTTTGACATCGTGAGCATCGATCCACGCAAATGGGATCGATGAGTGGCATCAACCAAGTCAGCCAGCCTGACCCCCGATCCCGTTAGACGCCTTTTACAACAAGCAATAAAAAAAGTAAATCCACTATAGAGAGAATGAATGAATGTTGTTTAACGACGCAACAATATTCAAACTACATCAGTTTTGTTGGTTTGTTTGATGTTTGACGCCACACGCAGCAATATTCCAGGTATATGACGGCGGTCTGTTATTATCGAGTCTGGCCCAGACAATCCAGTGATGACATCATGAACATGATCCACGCATTTGGGATACGATGACATGTAAATATAAACCAAGTCAGCGAGCCTGACCACCCGATCTCGTTAGTCGCCTCTCACGACAAGAATAGTCGTCTTTTACGGCAAGCATGGGTCGCTGGAGACCTATTCTATTCCGGATCTTCACGGGTAAGTAGTAGTAGTAGTAGTAACGACGTAAACCCGGCGCACTCAATCACTCACAATTTTCGTGACTGAAGTTACGCCTGTTTAAACATCTAACTAAACTGATCACAACAGGCGGCCACCTACCTTATTGATGATTTTATTGACGCAGACCTCAGAGCACATCAGGACGATGTTGATGACGTTGTTGCTGCTGGTCATGGTTTTGTTGTAGATGACGTTGAGCATGTCATGCAGGCCGATGGTATTCTCATAGTGCTTGACGCTGTACACCTGGTATGTAACGTTGTCCGACGACAACATGCCCGACACCTCCATCGCCTCAAGAGCTGCAACGTGGACGATTGGTTAATCAGACACCGCATGTTAATATGCCCTCTGTGTGTACACATATATACCCCCTCTCTTACGTTTGTGTGTTTTCTTTGTCAAAAGAGGGTATAGGTTGCAATATAAGCGACAAAACCCATCCCATATTCATATTAAATCTCTGCTGAAATCAGAGGCCACTCACTGTACGATTCCGACTGTCATGAGCATCAAACAGTGGTAATACTATGTTTTCGCGAAAAGGTAAGCGTTTCCTGTCCCACCGCTCGGACCCTTCACAAACGCATGCAAAGGCATGTCAATTGTTCACCTAAAAACATGGGAACATATAGTCAAAGTCAAAATAGGGAATTGAATTTTTGTTATTGATGTGTCACGCTCGTCACACCGACGACCCGGGTTCGATTCCCGACATGAGTACAATGTGTGAAGCCCATTTCTGGTGTCATCCTCCGTGATATTGCTAAAAGTGGCGTAAAACCATATTCACTCATTTATCAAGTTGACACGCCATTATATAACTGAAATACTGTTCAGAGGCGTTAAACCCAACTCACTCACTCACCCACTCACTCTAATGCTAGGTAAAACTAACCTGTTTCATCTTCATACAGTATGACGAGAGACTTCCACTGTAGGTAATCGAGCACTGCGAACACCACGTCCACCATATCCGGCACAATGGGGCGGTCATCGTGATGGACGTCGTTATTCTCATTACACTGATTGCTGTCTGGCGAGATACCGTCTTTGAGAAACGAGAAGGCGCCACATATACGCCAGGGATCTGGCTCCACGCTCACATCGGCAGTCTTGGGGGAGACAAAGGGGCTGAGTTGGCCTTGGTAGTGAACGACTGTCGTGTCCTGGAGCTCGAAGTGGTGTTTCTCCTCCAAATATCCGTAGAAGATGTCATTGAGCACCAGAAAGTCAACGGAGGTGTCAATGAAGCCGCGGACTGTAACGAAAATCAGGAGTGAGTGAATATGGTGTTTTGTCGTTTTTAGCCGTTATCTTACTACCTGAGGCAAGGGAATTATCTGACTATAACAGTCCAGTTTCCCCCCTTGCCGAACCCGGCTGTAATTGTGGAGTTATATTTTGGCTGGACTAACGAGTTGATGCATAGTCCAATCAAAATCGCTTTACGAAATCGACTGCAGGATTTGCAAAGGATGTGTACCGTCAACTGGGGTCGACAGATATTTTCCAAATCTCTTCATGTTTTAATCAAGGTGCTTACGTGATTTGATACAGTTCGAGAGGTGAGGCCCGTTTTATTACAATATTTATCTTGTCTGGGCGCCACCATTTTATTTGAAGCAAACGCAAGTGATATGAGAGGTGGAATCTGATTGGTCAGTAAGAGGCGCATAGAAGCGACAAAACTCGCCACTGGTGGCGCTACGATCGGGTCCAGATATTCCCGCCTAGTTCGGAAAGGGTCGACACTGGACTTTTCGAGTCAGTCAACACCAGTGCCTCGGGAAGATGGTCATTATCCTGTTATAGCAGCAAAGGGAACACCAAGACTGGACTTCACGCGTTGTACCCATATTGGGAATGAAACCTTTCCGAACTAGGCAGGAATATCTGGGCCCGACTTCGGTGTTATAAGCGAACGCATTAACCACAAAGCTACAACAATTAATATGGCAAAGGAGCACGATAAATGGGATTTCTGGGATCCTTCAAAACATGTTCAAGTGTGTAAAATGTCATATACACTGACCTTGTTTGAGGAGTGAAAACCTTTCGTTCACTTTTGCGATCGACCATATGACCTTCACCTTCAGCTCGCTTCCCCAGGTAGCGTTATAACCGATGGTCTGTATAGCTTGGTAGGTCATTGGTTCAGTCTCATTTTGAGCGTCTATAGCACCTGCAAAAACACAAGTTTATTCTTACTTTACAACACCTTTTCACATAAATAAATTGTCAATCTTGAATTTTGTAAAATATGAGGTAGGAATTAGGTATTTTTGGCAATGAGCAAATGGTCCTTCTGAATTTTAAAACCATTAAAATAAATAAAACATCATAAAACATCGTGAAACATAAAACATCAATTTTCCTTTTTAGACACAATATAGGAGACAGCTTTTTAGATTGCCCAATACATTAGATATGGGCCTAATATTCAAGAATGACAAAGTGCGTCTCCTTTATCTAATTACAAAACGCTAACACCAGAGAATAAGCAGTCTCGATTACCCGACGAAACAGATTCCATTGAGCGTAAAAGGCAAAATAAAGGTGAAAAATATATGAATGGATCACTGAAAATCAGTGATGATACAAGGTGTTCGCGAAAAGGGTAAGCATGTCCTGCCCTACCGGTAGCACCAAAGACTCACAATTTGCATAAAAAGGAACATGTTTGTTTGTTGTCTGACGCCACCCACCTGTACTCCCGCCATGCAACGGTGGCATGTCAACAAACCAGACAATCAAGTGATGGACCAGAAATCCAGTGACACGACAGCGCATTTACGGATCATGATCTGGATGAAGCTCAAAACGATAAGCCAATTTTAATTTAGGTCTGCTGTGTCAAGTGTAGAGATTTTGCTGCTTATAAGTAAAGTAAAACGTTTACGAAATACAAACGTATATTTGTTTTGCAACCCAGTAGAGGATAGTTGATTGGCTACCTCAGATATGTCTGATAGTAAAATATGCTTGACTGACCACTGCAACGACCGAAAAATGGGGATGTATCTAATTATTAATGTATTTGATGTTTCTGTTGGCATTAATTCCATGATGACCAAGAGGGCCTGGTGAAAGTAACGTCTCTTCTTTTACGTCGCCGAATGTTTAAGTGCAATTTAACGTATGTACACACAGAACTTACATTTCGCCAAGAAACATAATAATCCCATATTTGCTACCAACATTTGAAAATTAATCGATATATCCAATATAAAAGTCTTTGGGCAAGGTTTAAACTCTTTCAGAAACACATGTTTTGTGACTTATGATAGCTTATGTGAATCATGTTTCCCTCTGAACCAACATGGAGAAGGATAAGTAGAACATCGTCCATGAAGATGTTACTTTTGATACAGTTTCTCTGACTCACTAGGTCTAACAGAAGCCATTGAATGAGTTGATATTATGGCATCATGGTAATTTCCATGTATCAATCGCAGTGCTTCGAAGATGGTTAATATCTCGAATGCAAGTATTGACAAAATATCACGGGGACGAAAGACCTTAGCTAAAGAGAAATCAGATATAATAAATGACCCAGAAGTACGATTGCCGGACATAACCTTAAGCGTTGTAGGAATATGTGGGTTTCACAAGGATAATATGCAGAGAATTCTGAACAGTTTAACTCCGCCATAAAAAAAGAACAGTTTTCTGGCCGAAAGAGAGCTTCTGTTGCGTCCCTTAGTCATGCCAGGATCCGCTTAATATAGCCCATGGTCTGACAGCCAAAGTTGTAACGTTACAAGTGAGTGAATGAGGAGCTACACGTGTTGTATTTTCAGTGTAGAGCTAGGTTAACCGGTAGATGTAAGCGCTACGTTTAAATTTGTAACCGTTCGCGCAGCTTTCGTTCTACACTACACGTCACCATTATGACGTTATATCGCTCATTGTGACGCAAAAGATAGGACGTCAGAGTCGTATGTAGAAAAGCGTCAAATTCCACGCTCTTTGTTGTTCCCAAAACTTAAGCTACATTCTCTTTGTAGATTTCTTTCGCATTTTCTGCACGAAATGTATTGCCACACATCCTTTGAATATTGTAGTATCTGCAACTTTGCATTTAGTAACCTATGATTGTAGATATAATTAAATATGCCATCCGACAATAACTTAAAAGTACTTTTCTTTGAATATTAGCTTCCGCGGTGTTGCGGCGGTTAAGTTGGCTGTTTCAATCAGATGGGGTTTATTGTGATTTGCAACCTATGAGCGACCAATCAGAATCGAGTAATTTCCAAATTCATGTTAGAATTCGGTTTAACTCACCTTTGAGCAGTATTCCAGTTATACTCGGCGTGACAGCTTTGTGGCACCAAACCCAGAGTGGAATACAGCTTTAACACAACGAGCACGGATATAGAGCTGATAAGTCTAGAAACACAATCAGGGCGAACCGGGATTCGAACCCACGATCATCGGTTTCTGGTGTGCCCAAGTGACGCACCTCTGCACACCGCACAACGAATTTCGACGCCTCACGGGGGACATAAGTACTTAAGGACAACACGGGGGATATAAGTACTTAAGGACTTAAACATGACGATGTATTTTTGTGTGTTGTGACGTTCCATTCTATTGACTGCCATCAGTACTCACAAGAGATGAAAGGAATTTAAACACATAGATGTATCCGCATTACCACTAATTGGCAAAAAATAGTCTGTTATTTTTCTGTTCCAGAAATTAATAAAAAATAACATGAAATGTCAACTTAGCGTCCTGATTGAATTATTGACAGTAGCTTTATAATGAACATGCGTTGTTACTTAGTTTATTGTAATGTAATTCACATTCTGCTTGTCAGTGAGTTCTCAATATTTAGAGAGCGTGTGTGGTTACACTGGTGAATAGCGAGTTTAATGTCACAGTCTTCAACGGTCCAGTGTCGCCATTGTCATGAAAATGGAACCAGATGAACATGTGCTATATAATCACATCGTTAATTATGTATTATAGCTCAATGTCATCGTACAGTCAAGGCAACCACACAGGCCGTCAGCTCAGATAATTTCTCGCTCGGCGTCCTGCAATTTGATCAACTGAATAATAAATGACATTTCCTGACAAGCGATTATATATTATGATTCGCTGTGAAGACACCAAATAACAAATCTACAACCAGACACACGATCCATCGCTGGTGTTTAAAAAAATACCGAAACACACTCTTTCTTAGATTGTATATTTGTTCTTGAGCTAAGATGAAAAATGAGGGAGTATGGTTTTACGCCGCTTTTAGCAATATTCCAGCAATATCACGGCGGGGGACACCAAAAATGGGCTTCACACATTGTACCGCCCCGAGATGAAAAATGAATCATAGAATAAATATAACAATAATAAAGAAACAGCGTGTTCACTACCCCCGCCATGACGCATATAACAATTGTGTTTGTTTATATGGTATTGAATAAGATGAAAGTTAATGTTAACTATTAAAACAAGAGTCCTATAAAGCGTCAAGGAGAGATAGGCACTAGGGTCGCTTTATATCATCAGAAAACATTAATGTTACATTTATACACACAAAAGGCTCCTTCTCTGGGAAAAATAATTTATGGAAAAATATTTCGAACTTTCGCCTGGATAAGTATCTCTTAGTTTCAATCATGTAACTTCAGTTAGTTTTTAGAAAACTTGTCACCCTGCAAACACATGCACTAAGTAAAATAACATGGATCAAGGGCCGTAACCGTATGTTCAAATCTAAAGACATGTAGCAAGAGAAGTAACTCTGGAAAACCAATTTTTGGCGCTCATTCTCGATAAGCATCTCTCAGATAAGCTTGCAAAGTTTCATTCATGTAACTTCACCCAATTTCACGCGGTATGCACTAGGATGAAAAGTAGGTAGCAAGGGCCATAACTTTGTAAAAAATAGTTTAAGACGTCAATATATAAATTCATTTGAGATCGTAACCAGTAGCATCAGAGTGGGAAATTTTATTTCTCTAACTGAAAATAGATTTTGAGGAAATTTGCCCCATTGAGAAGCGGACGGACGAACGAATTCCATTCCTATATCCAACGCCACACTTCGTGGCGGCGGATAATATGAGAATCAGTCAAATTCGTCACCTTGTCAAACCCCCTGCTACAACCGATTCATAACAGATCTATGGGACTCTGTGAAGGACACAATTTCAAATCATAGTATTGCCAAACCAGTATTGCTTCGATTGATATTTCAACAAAACCCACTTGCCCATGTATCTATGCAAACACCTCGGCTGTCACTGATCGCCTGTAAGTCGAAATAAGGGAACGTTGGGTAACGTTGTACACATTCGAGTTAGAACAACTTGCAATTGGTTTTCTTCAGACGAAGTTTGATCTTGAAAACCACAAACTTATTGGTGATGATTCGACGTACTTGTTGGTGTTGACAAATTATGTTGACATCAGAGTTTTCAAATTTAAAAACGCCGCTTGTAACTGTATAGAATCCCGTCGAACGGTTATTGTTTTGTACACTGTGAACGATTCCCCATAGTCGCATTTGGAAGACGGGTGAGATAGTTATTTGGTTTAGGTGGGTTTGCAGGTTAAGCACCCAACACTCTGGTTCCGCCAATGACATTAAAGATGATGTCACAGGATCCTACATTGTTCTGTATTTGATGTCATTACTTATTTTCCCTGATCCATTCATATAATTTTCACTGCAATTTTGCCTTTTTTGCCGAATTGAATCTGTTTGGGCGGATAATCGAGAATGGTTAATTACTCTCTTTATTCTACCTAGACGTTTTATATTTATTTGATATTACAGTATGTACAAGACTCTTACCTCTTCATCGGCCTAGTTTTGTTTGTTTGTCTGTTTGTTTGTTTGTTTGTTGTTTAACGCCGCGCTCAGCAATATTTCAGTTATATGACGGTGGTCTGCAAATAATCGCGTCTGGACCAGACGAGCCAGTGATTAACATCATAAACATCCATCTACGCAATTGGGATACGATGAGATGCATCAACCACGTCAGCGAGCCTGACCACCCAACACTAAAGCTTAAACGAAATCCGTGTTTGTTCAGAGCTTGTAAGTATGTTTCTTATTAAGCCTTCAGTTGGAGTAAACGACAATGATCTCCATAACACCATTATAATATGAAATAAATTCATATTACTCATCACGTTAAAAGATGGTCGACAGGTAGAGTT